AAATATCTAACAGAAATTCAAGGTTCACCATTATCAGTTCTAACTTAGAATCTTACTTCTTGAATAATATTATTTACAACTGTACTTTAACATAAATAGTTCTGTTGGCTCTGTGAACTACACTACATAATGGACAGAACTGTGGAGCAAGATGAGGATCAAGGGAACCTGAAATCATGTCAGAACTGTCAGACCGCAGAGGAGCTTTTTAAACCAAAACTAAACCCACTAAACCCCTCACCTTCGAGTCAAATCCAATTAGTTTTCCAGTCTTCACTGGAGCAGACAGTCTATCTTTCCTCCTGACAAGTGACTGGTAGATTCTAACTGCCAATCTTTTTTTTTTTTTTTCAGCCGAATTAACAAAGTTTATTTCAAGTTCGAACCTGGGCTCCCGCGTGCTGACACAGCAGCATCCAGCCGAGAGCCAACTGACAATCTTTTGTTAGTAGTCCAGCAAGTTATCCACTCTATTACCAGGGCTCCTTAATACTTTACACAGGTTTAAGGGACCATTAGATCTGCCTCCTCATTTTACCCGCAAGGAAACTGAATGCACAGACAAGTCAACTCATCACACTACCTGTGAGTCAAAAGAAGAACAAACAAAATCTCATTCCTACCCCAATTCTGAAGCACTTGGCTTGTGGGAAGCTAAAGTCTACTGGAGAGTGCTAACCCCATTCAAATTCTTGACATAAGCTCAAATTCTGTTTGAGTTCCTTCTGACCTCTATCTGCCATGTAGCTTTGCCATCATGGACATACAGTCTGAAATCCCATCAGAACTGTCAGACCTCAGGGGAGTTTTTAAAATAAAAACTAAACTCCCTGCCTGTGAGGCAGTTCCAACTCTTGGCGATCTTCTACCAGGTTTTCAAGGCTGCAAAGCTTTACTGGAGCAGACTACCCATCCCTCCTCCTGACGAGTGGCTGGTGGATTCCAACTGCCAACCTGTTCTTAGCCGTCCTATAAGATATCCCCTATACCATCAGGGCTCCTCAGAGGCTTTTACAGGATAAGCTATTACTTGCTTAGGATGTCCCTAATGATTCCCAGAAATTCTAGTTCTGGTTGAATTTAGCCAGGCAGCAGACTCCACAACTCATCCTGTAAACTCTTAATTTGTAATTGTGTACATATTTCAATCAAGATTGCTCACGCTCTAAGGCAGCCTTGACCACAATAGTGTTTAATAGGTGGTGGTGGTGGTGGTGGTGGTGTTTGCTGCCATGAATCAACTACAACTCAGGGTGACTCATGAACAACAGATGGGAACCTTTCCTTATCCTGTGCTGTTCTCTCAATCTCCAACATGCTCAAGGCCACTGTCACAGTCACTCTGTCAATTCATGTCATTGCTTAGACTCTTTTAAAATAAAAACTCACTGCCATCGAATCACAAATGACTCACAACTGACCCTCCAGCTGGTTGCCCAAGGCAGTAAACCTCATGGGAAAAGAAGGTTCCTGTTCCTTCATCAGAGCCACAGGTGGATTCAAGACACTAAAGAGACTCTGCCTTTGGGTTGGCAGTGTGACTCCCTCTGGACTACGCCACCAGAGCTTCCTTGTGAAAGAAAGCACTGTCTAACAACTGGTGAACATGGCTGGCATCACTGCTAATGTTTTTCCTCATTCTAAAATGACTTTTCTGTCTCTCTTTGTCCTGTGTATATGTCTTCAGAGTTTCTGTAGAACAAGTTGTAATTTGAGTTCTAATTCGTCTTGTTTCACCTAGATTAATTTTATTCTAACTATTGTGTAAATACGACTTAATTAAGTAGAATAACCACTTAAGGGATTGAGTCAAATAGATATTTCATAGAATTTAGTGTGGTTAAGAATTCTATTGCTCTGGCTTCTTTTACTTTTAAGAAGTGAAACCAGTTAAGTGACTTGTTATATTAATCGAGTTTGAGATGAAGTTTAGAGTGGTAGCCAAGTGGCACAGACTACATTGTGTCCCGTAAATATGCATGTTGCAAATCCTAACCCTTGTATCTGTGGTTGTAACCCCACTAGGTTATGGGTTTCTTTGTTATGCAGATGAGGCAACAGCCAGTAGTAGCCTATGGTAAGTGAGAGGGACGGGGGAGGGGCAAATCCCTACAATGTGATTTACAGCCTCTGAAAACTCGCTAGGGTCTCAGCCATGAATAAGTGGCACAAAAAAACCCCACAGCAGCATATGGTATATCTTTTTGAGATATGAAAAGTACACATTAGGTATGGAGAAGCAAGAAGAGTTTGAAGATTGCCCAAATGAAGACTATCCAAGAGCAGAAGCTCAAAAAAGAGATGGACCCTCCTCCAGAACTTATAGGCAGAAAAAGCCCTTCTCTAGAGGTGACATCCTGAGCCTGGACTTTTTCTCTAAAGTCAACATCTTGAGACAGACATTTTCAGGCTCAGTACCACATAAACAAGACAGCAGGTGTCTTGACTCGTGAGCCACTGTTGTTGTTATTGTTTTGTACCATAAATCAGAACCGACCCATAGCTTACCCTCCAGTGGGTTTGCAGGGGCAGTTAATCACATGAGAGGAGATGGTGGATTCGAATCATGTGCCTTCAGGATTGCAGCACAGCTACCTGGCACTAGGCCACTAGCTTTCAGCATTACATAATAATTTCACTTTTTTTAAAATTGCAAACAGTGTGCAAAATTTTCTCGAAAGAACCTTCCTGGCTGACTCCGTGACTCTGAGTAAGTCACCACACTGAAATTTCTTTAACTGTTAAATGGCAGAGACTGGTTACCTGAGCTCTGAAGTTTCTCATTCTTTTCAAAGAATCTGGAATTTTTTAAGTTGGGGGTTCAATATGCATTAGGTAGTAATATACATCCAAGGGTAAATGAAATACTGGAGTCTAACTCTGGGAACACTTTTAAAGAACTATAGAGAAATTACAACAAAGTCATTAAAAATAAAACAGTGAAACTCAGCAGCACATTAGGATGAGCCCATATCTGAAGAGGTAGAACCAGCCTATGAATCTGTGGTTTACAATTCAATAAAATCCTTCAGGTGATTCATGACCGTGACTGCTTCTGAATTGGGCAACCTCCAAAGTCAGCAGCCTGCCTGCCTGCTTACACCCTGAACTCATTAGCCTTCCCAGACACCCCTAAAATCACATAAACTGCTTCCTTGAAATAAATCTCTCTGTATACATATTACAATGTGGTACTAGGGATATTATAGTTAATGTTCAACAGATCTTGACAGAAAGCAGAGAGTATCAGAGGCAATGTCTATCTGTGCCTTTTTATTTATTTATTTCTTAATTTTATTTTTTTGTGTGTGTGTACCGTCAAATTGGATCTGACTGGTATAGGAGGAGATTTTCCCTCCTTCTCCAGAAGAGCGTCTGATGGATTTGAACCACTCTCCTCTGGAATTGCAGTGTAGCTTCTTGCCATTAGGCCACCAGAGCTCTCTTACTTGCAAAGGCTTTTGACTGTGTGGATCACAACAAACTGTGGCTTACTCTGAGAAGAATGGAAATCCCAGAACATATGATTGTTCTTATGCGAAACCTATAATTGGACCAAGGGCAGTCATCAGAACAGAGCAAGGAGACACTGCATGGTTCAAAATTGGGAAGGGTGTCCGCCAAGGATGTATTCTGTCTCCATACATTTTCAATCTGTAAGCACAACAAATCATTCGGGATGCAGGAAGAATGTGCAGGATTGTTGGAAGATTCCTCAAAAACCTGCGTTATGCAGATGGCACAGCTCTACTTGCTGAAACTGAGGAGGATCTGAAGCACTTGGTGCTGAAGGTCAAGGACTGCAACCATTAATATGGACTGAAGCTCAAAATCAAGAAAACAGATTCTCACCACTGGACCAATTGGCAGCATCATAATAGACGATGAAGAGATTAAATTAGTTAACAGTTTTAGTTTGCTTGGCTTCACAGTCAACACTCTTGGTACTAGCAGCCAGGAAATCAAGAGACAAACTGCACTAGGAAAGTCAGCTGTCAGGGACTTCTCCACAGTACCGAAGAGCAACGATGTCAGGTGGAGACTAAGGTAGGCCTGATCTGGGCTATAGTCTTCACAACTGCATGCCATGCATTGGAGAGCTGGACAGTGACGAGGGATGATAGAAGGACAATTGATGTCTTTGAGCTGTCCTGCTGGAAAAGAGTGCTGAATATACCATGGACTGTTAGGAGACTCCTGGAGAGGGTGAAGCAGGCTGTCCTTGGAGTCAAGGATTCTGAAGCTTCGTCTGACATACTTTGGGCATGCTGCAAAGAGGGACCAATCCTTGGAGAGGGACATCATGTTTGGGAGAGTGAATGAACAGCACAGGAGAGGAAGACCCTCGATGAGATGGATCAATTCAGTGATTCTGGTAGTGGGAGTAAGTGTGTCAGAGATAATGAGGTTGGCACTGGATACAGCAGGGTTTAGGGCTCTTGTACATAGGGTCACTATGAGTCGCAAGTGACTCGATGGCATATAGCAACAACAACAATATACATATTACAGATAGCTCTAATGGCCTAGTGGGTAGGGAGTTGTGAGGCCAACTCAAAGATGAGTGGAAAACCCTTGGCAGGATCAGCTATATCTGACTTGACAGCAATGAATCTTTGTTTTCTGTATGTGTATATATAAGCTTCACTGATTTTTGCTTCTGCTGAAAATATAGCCCTAAACCCCCTCCATTTATTCTATCAGTTACACCTTTATACAGGTGAAATAAACTTTATCATTTAAGTGGACTTCTGTAATTCAAAGAAAGCTTCAGAAGGAACTCTCTGTACCTCTACCCGAATGTAACCACAGAAGGCAGTCAAGCGAAACCAAGAGATGTGCCAGGAGACGAGAAGAAAACAAGTGGTCAGCCACTGATCAGGGTGTTCCTGCCTGCAACTAGGTAGAGTGCCACGAATGTAGTGTCTGTCTCATAGAGCTTACAAGTCGGTAAAACCTCATTTAGATAGAAAGACACCACTTGCTTAATGTCTACTTACTGATAAACTTCTTTTGCATAGTCTCCAACAGTGCTTGATGAGCATCCTCAGCTTGCAAAGCATGTGAACATTCTCGAGCCAGTATGGTGCGAACGAGATGCTCTCCACATCCTAGAAATCCAAAGAAACCAAGAACAGTTGAGGGAAAAAGCATTAAACACCCTTCTCATCTCATGGACATTGAAACACCCCTACATATCATTTAATAGGTTAGGTTAGAGAATAATTCAGTGATGGATGAAATGATTTTGATGAGCCATCTAGTAATTTTAATAGTGGGATATGGCAGTAGTTAAAGAAATACAAGACTATCCAATGTCTAAAGGAAACAAAGATAAAAATAAAAGGAAAATTCTTTCATAGGACTGATTTGCCTAATACAGGAAAATCACTTTCTCACCTACAAATTTCCCAAGATTCTGTTTCATTCCCACTGTCTCGCAATTAGAAAAGACTAACAGATATTTTGTTGTTATTGTTGTTTTTCAAACTCATTTACTCATCATTTGGTTACATTCCACTGGTATTAATCTCCTAGTTGGTGAATAACTACATGGGACCTTGGGTCAAAGTCATTTTTCCTTTCAGACAAACATAAACACACCCACACACCCCACCCACTACCTGAGCAGGGGAAGAATCTTAAGAGAGTGAGTAAATCTGAATTCTCCTTTTTATTGCAATGGCCACCACATCAACACCTACATAAAATAATTTACATAGTTTTCAAAGGTGAAGAGTTTAATAGTTTGGGAGTTTTTTATAAGTGTATTTTTTTTGTACAACTTTTTGTTCTTTTTTTATTTTTAAATTACTTTATTTTATTATTTTTGTGTGTGTACCATCAAATCGGATCTGACTGTTATAGGAGGAGATTGTCCCTCCTTCTCCAGCAGAGCACCTGGTGAATTTGAACTGTAAACCTCTGTGATTGCAGTGCAGCTTCTTGCCACTAGGCCACCAGAGCTCGCCTATAAGTGTATTTTAAACACTTGTGGTGGACTTAGCGACCCATTCAGACACAGAATGACAGACACAAGTGGAAAGAGTACTGCTGCCTGGAATCTCATTACAACTTCTACCAGTGAAACAAAGAGAAAAAGAAATTTCATTACAGGTTAATAAGTTAAAGTAACAGATTTAACAACTTTTTTCTTGGAACTTATTGCTATTGGGAGATGCCTTCCAGTCCGTTTTGACGGGCAGGGAAGCCACGTGACAGAATAGGGCTGTGATCATTATGAAAGGACCATTGGAGGTACAATGGTCAGGCACTCAGCTATTAAGTCAGACTACAGACTAAGACGCTACATGGGGCAATTCTGCTCTCTGTCCTGTGAGTGAGAACTGACTCAACGGCACACACATTAGGCGTTACAGGAGCAGACTGTCACCTCTTTCTTCCAAGGAAGGCCTAAGTGGGTCTGAGTGGCCAACATTCTAGCCAGCAGTTGAGCACTTAACCATTTGCATAATATCCAGGCCTCCTTTTTCTTAGAAATAGATAACATGGTGAAAGCTACTTTGATAAACACTGGAAAGGCAAAGGAATGCTAAGTGCTGCTTGACATGTATATAAATCAATTTCCCTAATTAAAAGCTCTTATCCAAATAAGAACAGAAGGATGAAAAATATCATTATGAAGATTCCTTCATTTAAAACTTTTAAAATTATTCCTGTCAACAGGGCTGTATTTTATATTATTATTATTATTATAAAATCAAGTCCTAAGGAAATTCACAGACAGAATATCAAATTATCCAAGCATTTAATGACACTTAAAAAAAGACAAGTACATGGTCTAAAGAGCACCTCAAAGACAAAGCATCTCTAGATTCCACTTAAGATTCCTCAACAGTGCCAAGGAGAAAGTAAAGAGTATCATTTTTCACATCATTAACAATGTACACACATATACACATACACATAATAGTGATAAATGGGGGAGAGAGTCCTTGTCATTATAATACACACATGAATCAAAAAGGCTAAATGAACTTTTAAATAATATCTAAAAGTTCTTAACTCCATGAAATTAAAACCAGTAATAAAACAAATTGTGGTTAACCTTGCAGAAAATGGGAATCCCAGAACACTTGATTGTTCTTACGTGAAACCTCTACTTGGACAATGAAACAGTCCTCAGAACAGAGCAGGGAAATAAATAGCACATGGTTCAAAATCAAGAAGGGAGTGCATCAGGGATGCATTCTGTCCCCATACTTTTTCAATCTGTATGCAGAACACATCATTTGGGAAGTAGGGCTTTATGAGGAAGAGTGTGGCATCAAGATTAGAGCAAGACTCATCAATAACCTATACAATATGCAGATAACACAGCCTTGCTTGATGAAACTGAAGACCTGAAGCACTTGCTGCAGAAGATCAAGGACTGCAGCCTTCAATATGGACAGAAGCTCAACATCAAGAAGGCAAAGATTCTCACCGCTGGGCCAGTTGAATTGGCAACACCATATTAGATGGAGAAGAGATTGACGTTTACAATTATAGCTTGCTTAGATCCACAATCAACATTCTTAATACCAGTAGTCATGAAGTTAAAAGATGAACTGCATTGAGAAAATCTTCTGTCATGGATCTTTCCAGAGTGCTGAAAAGCAGTGATGTTAGTCTAGAAACAAAGGTGCACCTAATCCAGGCCATAGTCTTCTAATTATTTATTTTGCTTCAGAGAGCTGAACAATGACTAAGGATGACATAGGAAGAATCGATGACTTTGAACTGTGGTGCTGGAGAAGAGTCCTGAACATACCATAGACTGCCAAGAAAACAAATAGGTCTGTCTTGGAGAGAACGAATCCAAGTGTTTCCTGGGAGGCTAGAATTTTGAAGCTCCACCTCACAAATTTTGGGCACGTGGCTAGGAGAGACTGACTAACCCTTGCCTGAAAGCGTAGAAGGACAGCACAAGAGAGGAAGACCCTGGATGAGATGGAGAACAATATCTGGGGCAATGGGGGTAGGTGTGTCAGAATTAGTGAGACTGGCTCAGAGCTGCTACTCAACGCCAGATAACAACAATAACATACTTATTGGTTGTTTTATTTAAGCCTCTTGTTTAGAGTCAACAAGACCTCAAGGAGACCTTTGTATTTAAAAGTCAGTTGTTATTATATTTTCAAGGAACATTCTTTTAAGTGGTGGTACAGCACTCTTCGGTCAATATGCTGTACTCGGGTAACCTGGGGTTACTGTGATGCTGAACCTTGTGCCAATGTGGTGTCAAATGGCATAATGGTTGCCCACGGTGGACAGCATTTGGTGGAACTCCCATTTCAAGACAGATCTGGAAGCAGATATGGCATCTACTTCCTAAACAACATGCCTCTGGAAACTCTATGAACTTTGAGACATGATGATACAGAAAGGCTTCAGATCTTTTGCTCACAGGTTTGCTAGAATCATGCTCAACTTGGCAGCAATCAACAAGTACAACTGATGTAATAACTGGTTCTGTTCACTAGTATATACTGGCCTTGCTGCTCTCTCTCTCACTCCTTCTCTCTCCCCCTCACAGAGAGATAGTTTTACATAACACGTAGAGGTTGTTGTTGTTATGTGCCGTCGAGTCGTTTGTGACTCATAGCGACCCTATGCACAACAGCCCTAAACGCTGCTCTATCTCCAACAAACCCATCCCGATTACCCCAGTCACCGAAACAATCCATCTCATAGAGGGTCTTACCCTCCAGCACTGTCCCTCCACCTTCCCAAGCATGATGTCCCTCTCCAAG